TTTTCCCACTCTTTTGTTGACTATGAAGGCTATTCCATTCCTTCTATGGGATTCTTCCCCACAATAGTAGATATGATAATCATCTGAGCTGAATTCTTCCATTCCTGTCCATATTAGTTCGCTGATGCCCAGGATGTCGATGTTTATTCTTGCCATCTCCTGTTTGACCACCTCCAGCTTCCCAAGGTTCATAGATCTTACATTCCAGGTTCCTATGCAGTAGGCCCATCTTCCAGCGTCATATCTTTTAGCCTTTTGTTTCTGATCATGGGGCGTTCTTGGCAAAGATACTGGAGTGGCATTGCCATTTCCTACTCCAGGTGGATTGCGTTTAGTCGGAACTCTCCACTATGTCCTGTCCGTCTTGCGTGTCCTTGCACGGCTTAGCCCATAGCTTCTCTGAGTTACTCAAGCCCCTTCTCCACGACAAGGCAAGCAATCCATGAGAAACTATGGTAACATGCTCTGAATAGAGGTCTTGGAACAGCGTCTAGTGTGGCTGAGGAGGCCAATTCGAGAGTGACAATCCCTTCCACACTGAAGACAAATACAATCTGTCCCCTGTCCAGCTCCCTGACTTTGCTGGTTTCTGGGCTGCCTCTTTGCCTCGGCCTGCTGGACAGGTGTCTCTTCAAGTGGCGCAGTGGTTAAATCGCTATACTGCAGCTAAAACTGTGCTCACGACCTGGGGTTCAAATCCCAGGTAGCCGGCTCAAGGTTGACTCGGCCTTTTATCCTTCCAAGGTCGGTAAAATGAGTACCCAGCTCGCTGGGGGGGCAATGTGTAGCCTGCATAATTAAATTGTAAACCGCCCAGAGAGTGCTTGAAGCGCTATGGGGCGGTATATAAGCAGCACACTTTGCTTTTTTTTTTACCTTCAGCTGGTAAACACTTAAAACTTCTAATTTTCACAGTATGAGACAAAAATAGGCATGCATATATCTTATACCAGTCTTTCCCAAACTCCCAGTTGTTGACTACATTTTCTATCATCCCTTACCTTGTATGGCAAGTGGCTCTTTAACCAGGAATGGCTGTAGCTGTCGTTAGGGATGATTGAATCTGTCAGCTTCTCATCATTTGGCTTCTCACCATTTTTCATTTTTCCAGTGTTACACATTCAGATTTATACTGCAATTATTCAGGATAAATTTATCCTGAACATTCAGATTTTTCCAGTGTTACAAGTTCAGATTTATATATACTGTACATATATATGCATTTTTGTACGCATTTCTTGCACATGCAGAAACATATGTACAAATTTGATGTTACTGAAGTGAGTAAAAACCTCTTGTTTAATGCAGCAAAATACTGAAATGCCAGAGCATAAAAAGGTTATCTTCTGTGACTACAACTCGAAATACTAGCCATGCTTCCAAGGGATTGTGGGGAGTTCTTGTCTGAAAAGGTGCCATGTCCAAGCTCTAGCATCAAGAGTTTGTTCACATGAAGATTAATTTATATGAGAAATGACTACTTTTTCAGACACCACTGTTTATCACACTGAATATAACTATACAAAAGGCCCAGGGATATCTCTGTGGGACTCTATTGATTACTTTCCTCTGAGAGGAGAACGATCAGATGGAGTCTTTTAAAAGTGTGCAAGAACGGATCCTCCTGAATAGACTTTAGTCTCCTCTTCCACAGAAATACTTACACAAGTGACTTTGTATTTGCTTGTGTTCCTGTGGATACTGGAAAATTCCTTTCAAAGATTGTGAGGAAGCAAAGACAAATATTTGAAGGGAGCGAATTCCAGGGAGAGAAGAGTGTGGTCTAGTCAGCACAGTCTTCGCCCACCTAGACTTAGGATTACTTACTCTGTTAGAGTTGCTGTGATTACTTCAGTGGTTCATTGATATGGCATCAGATGTGGGAAATGTTCTTTTTTGAAGCTAGCTGCAGGATTCTGGGAGTTGTAGCCCAAAAAGTAACTTTCTCAAGCTGCTACCATCATGGAGGCAGGAATGGGAGATATAAAAGGGGAGGTAGACACTATACCAGGGGGTTGGGAAATGATTTGGGTAGAGGACCCCTGAACTGGAAAATGGGGAAAGGTCCGGGTCCCTAGAGAGGAAGCTAATTACAGAAGGAGGAGAGGGCTTCCACCATGTCCATCTTATTGGGGGGAATCAGAGGCAAGAGAGTGGTGCCGGAGACTCCAAGAAGAGAAGGAGGAGGTAGAGAGGGAAGAGAAGGAGAGGCGGTTATGGCGTCTGGAGGAAGCCCAGAGGAAAGGATACCTGATGCACTGTGGACACCCCTTTGAGGGGAGGAAGACACCTATGAACACGAGGGGAGAGATGAGGAGACCACCCCGTTATCAGACCCGGGGACTGAGACAATTGAACTAGAGAATAGCAACCTCTTTATGAAGGGACTGACTTGGACTATAACCCGTTCAATAAGGATGTTTGGATGCCCTCGTGGGACCCGTTGGTCATGAGAGACAAAGTTGAAGTTAAGTTAGAGACCAATGATTTGATGTTACATGTTCCAATAAACCCTAGTTTTGATTTGTCAAAATGGTTGTCTCCAGCGTCTATGTCGAAACCGGATGAGGCAATATTTGAACCCTCACAAGCCCAAACCAGACTGCTCTAGATTCTCTTGTCTGGACAGGCCCAAAGAACCCCAGTAAGTCCTAGGTAAAGAATTACTTAACTGCCCCATTGCCCAGGGATGAACCTATGAATACCTGCCCCAGTTTGCCTTCTCTGGAACAGGTGGCTGTTTAAACAGAAAAATGTGTGCTCAGGGAACCGTTCTACTGTTGTTGTACCTGTGAGACCACCAGCCTCAACTTTCTGCTTGGCATGTATTATTTGCAAGCCATGTGGCAAAACAGGGCTCTAGAAATTGCTCTACTTATATGACCACACTATATGGGGCCTTGCCTGCCCTTACCTGCTCTGCCCACTGCCCCATCACCCCCACTGGGCACTGGGCCCCATCCACCATTCTATTCCTGCTCATAAAGAAAAATGGCTAGGGCAGAAGAGAAATTCATCAGAGAAGCTGCTGAAAAGCAATGAATTAATTGAGGTGGTGTGTTTGATTTCTAGGTCTATGCGAAATCTTATCAGAAAGGAGCAGCGTCCAATGCTTCTTTCTCTCTCTCTCTCTCGCTTGATAGAGGACCGATGTGCCTATTTTATTTGGAGTGTTGCCCTCAGAGGAGCAGCTGTGACCAGATGGGGAACCCGGTGAACTTCCCTATCTGCCAAATTCTGCTTTGTAGTAAGATAAAATTGGCAAGAAAAAGGTCACGTTAGAGGGAAATGAGCCAGCTCCTCATAACAAAGGAGAGGGTTCCATCCTCCACGAAGGCAACTCCTTGAAGTTAACGCGGATTTTTCTTTTCCCCCTGCCAACCTAGAAACAAAGCCAGGAGGAACCGTTATTTCACACAAACGGCACATCTCCGGTTCTCGCGAGATATTGACCCCACGGCAACCTTAGGAATGCCACCCACCGGCAATTGCGGCGCCGGCACGCACCCAGCCCTCGCCGGCCGCGGCGCCACGCAACCCTTCCAAAAGGGGAAAAAAATAGCGTTTAAGTTCTCAGAGCTTTAGGCTTAGACCGCCGGCCTTCATCTTCGAAAGATTCCCGCCAGCCAATGGGAGAACTCCCTTCGGCCGACGGGCGGCGGGAATTGGTGGAAGCGCTCGGCTGATTTACTCGGGAAATCTCCCCGGGGATTCACGAAGGAGGATGGAGCGGCTGAGGTCTCCCGGCTGCTAAGAGGATTAGAGGGACGGAGGCAGGGAGGGAGGGAGGAAGTCCGACATTGCAGCCTAGGGGGCACCTCAGAGCAAAGCAGTAACGGAGCCGGGGGAAGAGTGCAAGGTCTGGCCAGGCGCGGGGGAAGGAGGGAGGGAGGGAGACACCGGCGCGCGCGCACACACGCACACACACACAAAGGGAAGGCAGAGCCACAGGCAAAGCTGGTAGCGGCGAATCCTGCAAGTTACAGGAGGGTGGCGTGAGGCGCTTCGGAAGGCACTTAATCCGGTCCAGGATCTAGCGGGGAAATCCGACGCGGCGGACAAAAGAACCGCGGGGGTCGCCGATGGGGAAAGGCGGGGAGCAAGGCGAGGACTGCGGCGGCGGCGGGGGCGACCGGGAGGCGCCGATCCCTTCCTACACTTGGGAGGAGGTCCAGAAGCATAACCTGCGGACGGACAAGTGGCTGGTGATCGAGCGGAAGGTGTACAACATCACCCAGTGGGTCAAGCGGCACCCGGGAGGGATGCGCGTGATCGGCCACTACGCCGGCGAGGATGCGACGGTAAGGCGCCGGGCTGTGCCCAGCTTCCCTCGCAGCAAATGGCTGCTCCTCTTCCTCCGGCGCGCGTTGCCTCTTGTCACCTGCTCCCGTTGCGGATGCTGGAGACACGCAGGAAACGCGCATCCTCGGAGCCGGGAAGCCACGAGCTGCCTAACCGGCGCCCTTTAGGAGGTGCGTGGGCGCTGAATGAAGTTCCCCCTGAATTGCTCGCCTCCTGCACGGAAAGCTGCTCTTCGGTTTAACCCGGGCGTCCTTCCTTTTCTTGTCGACGAGCCACCCTGCAAGGAGGGCGGAATTCAGAGAAGGCTGCCGGGGGAGGCAAGGTGGCGCCTGCCAGCGGAGCCTGTCCGGTCGCTCGCAAGCCGGAGGGCTGAGCGAGACTGCGGCCCACGGTGTGGGTGGGCGTGGGGCGGTGGGTGGGGAAAGGGCCGGCGGTGCCGAGCTTTAACACCGGCCGAGCCACCCCCTGCGTGGAGCCCCCTCGGCCGGGGCACCTCTTTCTCTTCAGGTCGGCGGTTCTTCTCCGGCGCCGCAATGGAGGGCGCGCTGGAGCCGGTGACATCCTGTTCCTCTCCTCGTCCGGCTGCTTGGCCCCCTTCGGCAGCGAGTCGCTGGCTTGCTGGTTCTGGCCGGCTCCTGTTATAAGTGAGAGCAGCGGAGGCGGGGGAAAGAGGCCCGCGGAGAGAGCAAAGCCAAGATGCCCGGGTCTTCTTAAGGGCCGGGGCCGCGGTCTCTGAACCCCCCACCCGTCTCCCAGGG